CTTCTGCCTCCGCCTCTTTTTTTTTTTTTTTGTTTGACATTAAACAGAAGGTCGATTTGTAACGTCTTGTTTGTACATTTGTACGCCGGGAGAGGGGAAAAGAGAAGGGGAAAGAACAAAAAAAATTATTTCCTTTTTTTTTTTTTTAGGATGAGTAATAAAATTTAATTAATCGTGGTCTGTTTTTAAAGAAAAAAATTAATTACGCGATATAATTTACTAATGACACTAACGACAACAAAATTACTTCATTTATAAAACTCCCCCAAAAAAAAAAATAAGAAAGAAAGAAAGAGAAAAAGAGAGAGAGAGTGAAAGAAAATTTTTAAAATGAATGAAATTCACATCGTAGAAAACTTTTGAAAAAAATTTTTTTTTTTCGATTATATCGCATGCGCATAAAAAAAAAACAAAAAATTGATTGTTTTTCAAAAAAATTCCTTTGAGACTAATCACCCGAATTACTCATTTTCCTTTGGGAAAAAAGAAATGACGTCGAATAAAAATTTACGAAAAAAAAAAAAAAAACCAACGTGTAAGTAAAAACGAATATAAAAACTATTTCTATAGTTTTCACCTTCTAATTAATCATTATTACATTTCATAGAATAAATAAAATTTATTATTATTATTATTATTATTTAACGATAATTAATTTCCGGTTTGTCGCACTATTAACAAAAATAAAAATTTTTTTTCTAAAGACAGAAATACGATTTTAAAAAAAAAAACAAAATTACAAAATCTTTCACCTGCGACCATATTTGTCTTCCGTTTGTTTTATTTTTTTTATTTTTTTACTCTATGGAATTCATTTTAGACTATCAATTACAAATTTTTGTTTTTTCTCCCCTCGTTTAAAAACTATTATTATTATTATTTAAAAAATCACAGGATGAAATAATAAATGTTTGTCAAAAGGGAAAAAGATTTTTATAAAAAAAATTAAATTAAATTTTTTTTTGCTACTAATGGATTATTTTATATTCTATGCGAAAAATGTCATAGAGTTTTTATTATAAAATTAATAATGATTTAAATTAAAAATGGAAAACGTTCGATGGTTAGATTTTTTTCCGGCAGGTGTCACTCAGTTTTTTTTTCCACGAAACCTAAACTTACGTTTTTACGAACCTTCCGAACGATCCGACCAATCAGAAACGAGGGAATTTTTTTTTTTTTAAAGTAATATTTATTACAACTAATTATTACCAACATTATGAAATTTAAAAAAAATTTGACGTCATTTTTACGGCCATATTAAAAAAAAAAAAATAAAGAGGAAACAGCTGATAACTTCTTATTCTCTCATCCGGTTATTCATTAAGTGGTTACGATTTTATTTTTCTGGATATAATCCAATGTTTAATTTTAACTTTATTTATTTTTATTTAAAAAAATTTTTTTTTTTTTTTGATTTCCATCCTGGTTAAATAATTTATTTATAAAAAAAATCCCTTCTTCCCTACCCCTCCCTCTCTCCCTTTTCCTACTCCTTCACTCGTTTCCCCGAGCGCTCGCCTCTTCCGAATAAAATCTTATATAAAATTTGATCGATTTTTCATTGATTTTTTCCACAAATTATTATTATCATTATTAAATCGGGGAGGGGAGTTGATGAGGGGAAGGTTTGAAGGATTTCCAGTTTGACATAACGCAATTTTTTCCCCAATTAAAAATTTGTATGATTTTTTTATTTTTAGCTTAATAAAAAGATCATTAAAAAAAAAAGGAGAAAATTATGAAAACAAAAGATTCGAAATTACGTTTTATCAATTTTACGCGGCGTAAATAAATCATTAAATCAGCGTTTTTTTTTTTTATAGAATTTTTAACGCTTTATTTAAACAAATTATTACGAGAGTGATAAAAAAAAAAAACAAAAGAAAAGAAACGAAAGGAAAAAATTTATTTATAATTTAAAAACGCGCGCGTTTTTTTTTCTCGTGATTATCCATCGCGATTTCCGTGAAGTGAATATCGATTTGTTTTTTTTTTTTTTACAACGTTCGTAAACGAAAATGACGTCATTAATTTTTTTTTCACGGGAAGGAAAATGAATATTTTCGGCGCCCGTGTGACGTTTTTAATAAAAACGCGCGTAAAAATAATTAAGTAAATTTTTGTTTTGTTTCGTTATCGCATTTTGGCGGATTATCAAAATTTTTTTGTTTTTGTTTTTTACATAAATTGCAAATATCGTTAATAATTAACGCGAGCCAATTTTTCGCCGGTCGTTTTTTTAAAAAAAAAAAAATTGACCGGTTAAAATTTTTTAAAAATTTTCGAATCGATCGTCATTCATAATAATAATAATAATAATAATAATTAAGATGAATTAAAATTAATATTTGACAAACGCGCGTTTTTTTTAATTTTTTAAATCGACGAAACTTTTTCACAAAATTTACAAAACCAAACGATATTAATGTTGATGATGATGATGATAATACGAAAACGAATGAGTTTTTATTTATTTTAAATTGAACGACGGGACAATAATAATAATAATAATAATAATAATAATAATAATAATAATAATAATAATAATAATAATAATAATAATAATAATAATAAATGGTTTTTACATCATGTCGTCGAAAAAAAAATTTTTTGTTGTTGTTGTTGTATTGATTAATTGTTATCAAAAAAATGAGATTTTGTTTTTTTTTTAAAGAAAAAAATTTTCTTTAATTATTTTTTTTTATATTTTCGAAAGTTCGATTTAAGATCTTGTGACACGACAAAAAAAAAGAAAAAAAGTTTTTTTTTAAAATGATAAAAATTAAAACAAAAAAAAAAAATCGTTCAAACCTTTTTTCCCTTTCGCTTTAAAAAAAAAAAAAAATTTTAAACAAATTTTAACGACAGTAGCAGACGACAAATTTATTTTATTATAATCGAAACATAAGCGTAATTTTATTTTAATAAAGTTTTCCTCATGATAATTATCATTATTATTACTACGGAAAAAAAAAGGAAAAAATGAAAATTTACTTTTAACAAATCTTTTTCTCTTATTATATTATTACGTACGATACGTTTGATAACGTTATCAGTTATCAAACTGTCTTACGCATGACGTACTACTACGCAATTAAAATTATTTAAATAAAAAAAAAAATTTGACGTGGCTAAAGATAAATTTTATTATTATTTTTTTATTTTTTACGAAATCGTCACATTTTTTCGTCATTTTTCTACTTTTGTACAAAAATATTTATTTATATATTTATTCTAACTGTCTTCTGCCACGAGAACCTTCCCAAAAAAACCAAAAAATAAAACCGGAAATGAAAATGTTTTTTTTCCCGCCAAAATCAAAAAAAGAAAAAAAAAATTTTTCGTTAAAAATTTGTAAAATTGATTGACGGATGCCATCCATATTCGTACGTCGAGAAAAAATTTTTTTTTTTTATAAAAAATACGTGACGCGTACGTAAAACGTACGCGAGCGTTTATTTTTTTATAAAAAAAATATACAACAAAATGTAAATATTTACAAACATTATTTAAACCGAAAGAAACGGAAACAACCAAAAAAAAAAAAAAAATTTCAATCGACTTGTTTTATTTTTTGAAGTCAAAAAAAAATATTCCTTCCTCCCCCCCTTCCGTTTGTCATTCTTTCTTTCTGCTCCCACTTACATGGTCGATTGAATTGCTTTTTTTTTCTTTCTTTATTTATTTATTAGATTTTTTGCCAATTTTTATTTATTAATAATAATAATAATCGCCGCAAACGTTATTCCGTTTGTTAATGTAATCATTTTTCAGTAAATTTACGACGGAAAAAAAAAAAATTAAAATTGTTTTTAAATATTTTTTTAAGTAGGCGACAATTTCAAATATCTAATAATAATAATAATAATAATAATAATTATTATTATTATTAATGTTTCGTTTGATGAAACAATAATTGAATAATAAATTATTTTAAACGAACATAAAAAACAAAAAAAAATGTTTTATTTATTTATTTTTTTCATAATTTTTAAATTAACCAGATGTGTTGGTTCCTTGTTTGATTTTTGGCAAAAAAAAAATTTCAATTATCATTATCATTATTATTATTATTATCAATATTATCATTATTATCATCATTATTATTATTTGTGTCAAAAAAAAAATTAAAATGGTAGCGAAATAAATAGTTAATTCAATTCGAATAATTTTTTTCCGGTGTAAATTTTTTTTTTTTTTTTACTTTTGATTGCTTTACATTTCGTTATTATTATTATTATTATTATTATTATTATTATTATTATTTTGTTTCTTATCAGTCGAGTGATATGAAGAAAAAAACATCGGATGATGTGAAAATTTGTATTTAAAAAAAAAAAATAATAATAATAATTTAATTGCTGTGTATATTTTTTTTTTAACGACGTTTATTTACGGTTGGATCATCATCCTTAATCCGACACCGACCGATTATTATTATTATTATTATAAACATAACACGATATTTATTAAAATTTTAACGAGGAATAAATTTTCCCGTTTCCCCCCACCCTCGTCCTCCCTTTCTCTTTCCCTTCTCTTCCTCTCCTCCTTTAAACTCTTTCCTTTCTCTCATTCCTTTCGTATTTTTCTTTCTCCT